GCTTTAATCTATAACAAAAATAAGAATGAAAAATTTAATTATATTTTAAAATACATACCTACATATGTAGTTATAGCATATACTACAATAAAATTTAGCATAGTGCGTTATAATTTATTATATGTAATAACTTACATAATATAAGAAATAATACTTACATTATTTACAATCATTTATTAAGAATGAATCAAACCATAATGATTTAATTTATGAAAATATGAATCTGAAAATATAATTCTTTCGATTGTAACAAAAATTTGCCGTATTTCTTTCTCATTCCAATAACTGTAATTTATATTATTGTTTTCCCACGAATTATAATTCTCATTAGCTCTCGTGAATATTGCATGCATTGCATTTCGTTCCCCAAAAGCTTGCAATATATTTTGTGCAATCTTATCTAATAAAGTTTTTAGGTATAGATAAGAAATATATTTTCAGGTCTGAGCAATTGCACCGCAATATTAATTATTCGTTCTAAAAATGTTGGTCCTTGGGTTCATTTTTAAATTGCTTACATTTGCTCTTGATACGATTATATTTTAGTATTGGAATAAAGTATAGACTGTAATATCTTTGTGTTAAATTTGGCCAGGTTTCCTGAAAAATTTACATATTGTTAAATATTTAAATTGTTTAAATATATAGCTATATATTATAAATATAGATTTATAATATTATATGTTACGTATATGTATAAATATCAGTATAAAAAGTTCATTAAGTTAATTCGGCAGTAATCACGACGGAAATCGCGGATTCTTGTGGAAAAGAAATTTCTGAAGGCAGATCGCGGGCGCGAAGCGGGAGCGAGGCGCACGTGGTCGCGAGGCACGGCGCGTTTCCAATACGCGTATTCTCACGCGGGGGTGATCTCGCGGCGAGAATGAATGTGAGAGCGAGAGCGAGGCTGGGAACTGGCCCCGACATTATCTTGGGAGAGACGGAGCGCGCTTCTATCTCTTGCCGGTGACAGGATTGATTTCCGAATTGACGGTATCTTGTCAGAGTGATGCGATTTCTCAGCAGAGGCAGAGTACCTTTCTACCTCGTACTCTGAGTACGGTCCGGAGATCTGGCTTATTCAGAATCAGAAAATGGATCTCTCGCCTAGAATCTAATCTCGCTTTTCATGCCGCCGGAGATAGATCTGCGGCGAATTTCAACGTGACGGCGGCGTTCAGCCGACTTCGTTAGCCGTTGGGTGCGTTCGGCTCCGAGCTGTATAACGGTATACTAAGCCGTTTTTACGTCTATTATGAAAAAGATTATAGGGCGCTTTTGCGCTTGCTGCATTGCCCGACCGGTGGTTGCCGGGTGCAACCTTCCGATGGTCAATTGGGAACGATGGGAGGTGGCATCATTACAATATTATATTACGTATATGCATAAATATTAGTTCATTAAAGTAGTAAAGATTTTATTAAGTTATACCATGCAGGTTGTGAAAACATTCTTTTAGATTCATTTAGAATAAGATAATATTTTCTTGAAGACACGTTTGCTAAAAGTAATTTTGAAATCAAGTCTTCCTTAACATTGTTGTTGTTTTCATCTATGTATTTTGAAATATCAATTCCCACATTTCTTTCCAATGTTTTATATTTGCTTTTAATTGTTCCTTAAAAATTAGTCGACTATGATCTTCACTTATAAGAGTTTAAAAAGGCTCTGTAATATAAATATAAATAACGTTTAAGACGAGCAACAAGAGCCAAATCGCGGATGACAATGCGTTATCCTAACAAACTAAATAATTTTCGTTAGAATTAAATATCGGTGCACAGGCACCAATTTTACTTGGACACGGCCAAGATTTTAAATATGAAATAATCTCATCTTTTGAGATTAATTTCAATACCCCTTTTAACCCCCCACGGAAAAATAAATAAATAATGTAAGAGAAAAATAGATCCGAAATCGCTGAATCGGGAATTCCCGATTCAGCGATTTTCGGATCTATATTTTTCTCTTACATTCATTTATATTTTCCGTGGGGGGTTAAAAAGGGGTATTGAAATTAAATCTCAAAAGATGAGATTATTTCATATTTAAAATCTTGGCCGTGTCCAAGTAAAATTTGGTGCCTTGTGCCCGATATTTAATTCTAACGAAAAATTATTATTTAGTTTTGTTAGGATAACGCATTGTCATCCGCGATTTGGCTCTTGTTGCTCGTCTTAACGTTAATTTATATGATCTTCACTATTTATGCTGTTATAAATATTCTTTAAAACAGGCCACCTAAAATTTAAAATAAAAACACAATAAATATTTTCTATGATTCTTTAGGAGTGACATGGACATAATACTGGAATTAACAATAATATATACACTGGTAAAAAAAATTAGAAGAGCCCTTAAATATCCATTTCTAAAAAAGGCATGCTAAGTCGATTCTCGAAAGTCTCAAATGCATTGTTACCACTTTTCTGCGATGCTGATTGGTTCTGTCACAGCGTTTACTTTGTGAGCGACTGTCATTGCATATTTTGACAGTTGTACACGTATCGAGAGGTTATAGTGTAGTGACAGTATATAATGTATATTAAAGGATTTGGTGTATCTAATAGTTAAAATCTGATAAATTAGTGTTTATTAATTTTGTGATTGAGTGGTTTCGATTACACAGTTTCTCAGTTTCTTAGAAAAGGAAATAGAAATTCGGTAAATTAAAATTATGTATATATAGAAATTCGGGTAATTTAGATTTTTAGATTATGTACATATTTCCATTATAAGATATAATACCGAATTTGAAATCAATATATTTACTAACATTACAGATGTATTATCTATGTTAAATATAACACAAAGGAAATCGATAACTGTAATACTGACAACAAGATTTTGAAGGAGACGATTGAAAATTTAAATAATAAACTCTTAATTTAAATAATAAATATAGAAATAATGAAAGATTCAAACACAAAATCGCTATGTACGATTAGCAATAATATTAATACTGAAGACAGTTATATTCCAAAAAAAGTTTATAAAACGCTTGATACTTATTTAACAAAACTTGTAGAAAGAGATGGAATGTACAATTCTGGAATTCAGTCATCATGTCAATTCAATTTTTCTTTCAAGAGTAATAACTGTTTCGTGAATTCTCTCGCGTGTAAAGTCCCGGGTATAATTTTGCATCTCCACGGGCGACGCGAGCCGAAGCACAGGCTTCTAGTTTTTATTTAATGCAGCAGTACGGGCGCGATGGTATGAGAGAGTTTGATTGAAATAAACTGTAATGACTTGATCCTCGTATAATATTGATTTATTAAGATTATGCGCGACTATGTATTGCGATGCGCTCCTCGAGACATGAAGATTAGCAAGTGACCTGTGCGAATTTATTTCAGGCCGCACAGGTAAGCCTTCGTTGTCGATCCGAAAAAGCCCGATACATCCCGGAATCCCGCGATTGATATTTTGACCGTTCATGTTTATGTGATTGACCGTTCTTCGTTCACGTGATAAGACCAAAACAAAGTGAGACAATGATGCGTATACAGGGTTTGTCCGGAAAGTAATGCGTCGCATTTTTTTAAAAAAGAATTTATTGATCGCATAGGTAAAACAACTTAAAATTGTTCGAAGTATGACCCTTCTGCGTCAATACATTTTTGCCAACGCGATTTCCATGCGTCATAAGATTTCTGGAACTCCTTGACTGGGATGCTGTTCAGGGAGGCCGTCGAAGTAGCTTGTACGTCGTGTGCCATTCCGCACTCTGCCTCTTTGACTCCGGATCGTACTGAAAGACCCATGACTCATCCCCAGTGATAACGTTGTTCAGGAAATTGGGATTATCTGCACAGAGTTGCTTGAGTTCTTCACAAACTTCCACTCGGTGTTGCTTTTGCGCATCGGTCAACACTCTGGGCACAAGTTTTGCGCAAATCTTCCGCATGGCCAAGTCTTCCGATACAATCTCGTGAACAATCGTTTTCGGCAAGTTCAATAATTCCGACATTAAGCGAACATTCATTCGACGGTCTGAATTCAATAATTGGCGCACACGAGTCACATTGTCGTCCGTTCGCGATGTTGACGGGCGTCCTGCGCGGGCCTCGTCGGCGACCTCCTTCCGACCTTCTCTAAACATCTTGTGCCATCTGTTTGACTGCGATTTGGAAAGGCAATCGTCCCCGAAAACTTTCTTGAGCATTTCAAAAGTTTCCAGCGGCGTCTTGTCCAGCTTCACGCAAAACTTTATCGCATAGCGTTGCTCTATCGTTCTCTCCATCACAAGTTCGACGCGACCACTAAGCAGAGGTTCACAGAATAAGCCGTCCTAACCCTCCAAGCGCATGGAAACAATTGAGCGACCTACCGTTGGAAAGCTAAGGGTACCCCCCTTCCTCCCCAACCGGTCCCATCGCTCTGCGATGTATAGTCGCGTCACAAAAAAATGCGACGCATTACTTTCCGGACAAACCCTGTATATATATATATATATATATATATATATATATATATAAAAGAAAACCGTGTCTCTCTTGTCTCGACCAGCACATCCCAACAGATACATGTCCAAACATCGTGCAAATTCGTGAAATATAATAACATGGAATAATAATTCTAAACACCGGCCGCCTTGGAAGACGTCGTCTTACAATAATAATAAATAAACTCGGGTTCACATACATGCGGCAGGCATACAATATGATTGATACGCTTCGTCAAATAACAGTACAATAAATATGTATATTAAATAATATGTTTTGTAACGCAAAGAAAATAAATAATATATAATGAGTAAAGTATAGTATAAATGATAAGAGTCGTCCTCAATTCAAATATCTAAAGCGATTTAAATAATTTTGTCATTAACGCTATTTGATTATTCAGCGCGGTCAAACTTTATAACTAATTGCAAAAGAAACATCCTGTTTTTTTTTGTTTTTTTTTTGCATTCATATAGCACGTTCATGTTATGAATGTAGTACAATTGATTGTCAAGAAACAAAAAACAATATATATATTTTTTACAAATGCTAATCTTCTAGAGGCAAAATTGATAATTTTGAAAGAGGCCTGACAAATGATCCCTTGGCCGTGATTATTGTGGCTGTACGGGCGATGCCATCAGTTCCAGGATGAATTTCCTTCACGCGGCCAAGCGCCCACTGCAGAGGCGGAAGGCCCGGTTGCATGACTAGCACCATCTTGCCAACGCCCATCTGCTCTCCCTTGTTGCTAGTCCATTTCTGCCGCTGCTGCAATTGATTTAAGTATTCGCGGCTCCAACGACTCCAAAAATGCTGGCGGAGCTGCTCGACTCTCTGCCATCGCATCAATCGACCTTCCTTAATATCAGTAAGGTCATGGCATGGAAAATCACTCAATACCTCGCCAACCAGAAAATGCCCCGGCGTAAGATAGGCTAAATCATTAGGATCAGAGCTCAGCGGCGTCAACGGACGCGAATTTAATACAGCCTCTATTTTGCACAACGTTGTCTGCAACTCCTCGAAAGTCAGGTGTGAGTCGCCCGCAACACGCTGTAGGTGATATTTCGCAGATTTTACCGCGGACTCCCAGAGCCCGCCAAAGTGCGGCGCTCCAGGTGGAATAAAACGCCATGATATTCTGGAGTCGCGACAAAACTGTTCTATTTTTTCTTTGGTTGATGACGCGCCACGAAACGCGTACAACTGTGCCAATTGGCGCGAGGCCCCCTTAAAATTAGTTCCATTATCGGAAAATATAGAAGTCGGGCACCCCCGCCGAGAAATGAAACGCTTTAAGGCCGCTAGAAAAGCGTCCGTCGTCAAGTCACTGACTACTTCAATGTGTACTGCTTTCGTAGCGAAGCACACAAATATACAAACATAAGCCTTACTATTTCGAGCATTTCGCCGCTTGCCTTCTCTTATAATGAGAGGCCCCGCGTAATCGATGCCGCAATTAGAGAACGGCCGCGAAGGTGTCACACGGGGCGCAGGTAACACCGCTATTTTCGCTTCCGATATCGCCGGCCTGCATCTAAAACAAACGAGGCACTGTCTAATAACCTTTCGTGTGGTCGAGCGAACCGAGAGAAGCCAAAATTTTTGTCGCACCGCAGCCATAGTGCCTTGTAATCCAGCGTGCAAATTGCGTGTATGTTCTTTCTTTATTACGAGCTGAGTGAGCCGATGATTCTTTGGGAGCAAAATTGGGTGGCGGGCATCGTACCCTAATTGTGATTTTTCGAGCCTCCCACCGACGCGAATCAGACCCTGTTTATCCAAGAACGGCGATAATGATTTTAATGAGTTAGCGGAAGTGAGAGCGTTTCCCTTCTTTAATTGCCCGAACTCGTGTGAAAAAACTTCCCCTTGCACCAGCTTGCAAATGTTTTCCAATGCGGCCGAGATTTCCACGTGCGAGACGTGAACGCCCACGTCTCCCTCGGATCGCAGACGCGGTCCAATAAATCGCCTGCAATATGCAACAATTCGGCACAATTTATCTAGACTCGAACATCTAACTATAAGCTCCGAAAAAGGGTTCGGTGCCACCACGCCAGCGACAGCAGCAACTATCCGCCGCCTCTCCGGCATCTCGGACTCCGGGACATATTCGCCAACGCTTGGCCACGACTCCTCGCTGCTCTTTAAGAACACGGGACCTCGCCACCAGAGCGCGGCATTCCCGATGTCATGCGGGTGGACGCCCCGAGATAGCAAATCCGCAGGATTTTCGGTTGTCGGCACGTGCCGCCAATCCAAACCGGAAGTTAACCGCTGTATTTCTCCAACGCGATTTGACACAAAAACCGACCATTTTCTCGAGCACGACGAAATCCATCTCAGCGCGATCGTGGAATCCGACCACAAAGTATACCGCACGTCCTTTATGTCAATAGATGAACGCACTTTGTCCAACAATTGTGCCAGCAATAATGCCGCGCAAAGCTCGAGTCGCGGAATCGAAATCACTCTGAGTGGGGCTACTCTTGTTTTAGAGCACAACAGATCAATCTGCACTTTGTTCTCATCTACTTGTCTTCGAATATACAAACACGCGCCATACGCCCGCTGGCTGGCGTCACAAAACCCGTGTATCTGAACGCAAGCCCCCTCTTGATTTCCCCCTATAAACCTGGGACGCTTAAATCATTTAATTCTCTTAATTGTCTCTTAAACGCGGACCACCTTGCATGCATATCCAGCGGAATCGATTCATCCCACTGTATTTTTAATTGCCAAATCTCCTGTAACAGCATTTTTGGTATGATAATAACCGGACCGATTAATCCCAACGGGTCAAATAATCTTGATATCTCCGACAATATTACGCGCTTCGTTATCTTGTGTGAGTCAGTCGGCAATTCAATCGCGAACCGAAAGGCATCCATCGACGGATTCCAAAGAATTCCGAGAATGCGTGACGTCGCGTCTCTATCAATTTGAACCTCGGCGTTATGTTTATCATACATATCATTTATCAATACTGATTCGTTTGAATGCCACTTGCTCAGTTGAAATCCGCCGCGGTTCAGAATCTTTACGATCTGGTTTTTCAACGCTAATGCTTCCTCGATTGTGTCCGCTCTCGTTAGCAGGTCATCAACGTAAAAATCGCGTTTCACTCGCCGGGATCCCGCGGGAAATTCCTCCGCGTACATCTCGGCCAAAAATTGCAGCGCTCTAGTAGCTAAATATGACGCGGCCGCTGTACCGTATGTCAACGTTATTAATTCGTATGTTCGCACGCTCTTGGTGGCCTCATCTCGCCACAGAACACGCTGCAGTCGCGTCTGCTGCGGATCGACCAATATCTGCCGGTACATCTTGGCGATGTCTGCGGAGAATACGAATCGAAAAATTCGAAACCTCGATACAATGGAAAATAAATCCTGCTGCACCGTCGGCCCGATCATAAGAGCGTCGTTCAAAGAAACCCCTGTTTAACTCTTGCATGAAGCATCGAAAACCACCCTGATTTTAGTCGTTTCATTTGACGTCTTTAATATACAATGATGCGGCAAATAGTACGTCGGCAATCCCTTGTCTTTGTCATTTTCCTCCCTTACTAATTTCATATGCCCAAGGGCCAAGTACTCGCGCATAAATGCCGCGTATTGCGATTTTAATCCCGGATCGCGATTCAGCCGTCTTTCCAGCCCGCAAAAACGCCGCATTGCTATGTCTCGCGTTTCCCCGAGATTCTCTAATTTCTGTTTAATAATCGGAAGCGTGACTATTATCCGACCCTCTTCATTTCTCTTAGTATTATCGAGAAAGTGTCTCTCGCAAAAACGCTCCGCGCTAGTGTACAAATCCGACGGCCGAAAATCTTTCTCGATCTGCCAGAATTTGGCTAATTGATTTTGCAAGGCGGCATCCGCCACCGAAATGTGAAACGCTCTCACCTCGCGCCCGCGGGCGTCACGAGCAGTGACCTCTACACGGCCGGCGACAATCCATCCGAAAAGCGTTTTTTGTAGCGTGGGATGCGATCGGGAACACTTCAATCTCCCCACACAAAGCAGCTGCCAAAATATATCGGCGCCTATCAATATATCGATATCGGAGCATTTATGAAATTCCGGATCAGTTAATTTAATCCCATTAGGTATATGTATCCTTTCTCGATTAATAGGTGCCGCAGGTATCCGATCGGTTATGCGGTTCGTCAAAACGCACTCCAAACTCGCGCAGAAGCCGCTCAAACGCGAATGTAATTTTACTTTCACGATCTCGTTGGCGTCGCTTGTCATGCCATTTATTCCGGTGATTCTAACACTACCCGTCGATGGCTTTAAGTTTAATCTCTCGACGCAATCTTGCGTTATAAAATTCGCTTGCGAGCCGCTGTCCAGCAAAACCCGACATGATTGTCTCGTTCCAGTAGCATCTATTATATACACAATTGCCGTTGAAAGCAATACATGCGCGTTCCACGCGAAGACACCTGAGTCATAACTATTTTTTCTTTTATCGTCTCCGGAGACGGCTCATCTTCGGCCTTTCCCTTTTCAGTAATGTCGCTCGAATCCGCCTGAAGATGAAGCATCGAATTATGTTTGGCTTCGCATGTTTTACACGCGCCCATTTTACATTTTGCGGCATAATGATTGCCCCCGCGAAGACAATTTGCGCATAGCTTGCGCTTCCGTATTTCCGCGATTCGTCGAGCGACCGGCAGTTTAATAAACTCACGACAATAATAAATGAGATGTTTTCCCTGGCAATATCCACACGACAAAGAGGCAGTCGCGACGTGAGCTGCCAAACGCTTTCCGGCGGGCTGAGTTTGTAAATTTCCGCGATTCAACGATTCTAGCAAATTGCATCTGTGCTCCAAAAATTCCGAGAGCTGCTTGAACGCGGGTAACTCTGTTCCGGTCAACGACGCCCGCCACTCTCTATCAGTAATCGGATCGAATTTAGACGAAACTAAGTATATAAGCAGCGTGTCCCAATGCTCCGTGGGGCAATGCAGTGCCTTCAATGCTTGTATGTGTTTCGCGGCATTGTCCGCCACCCTACGCAGCTCAACAGCATTTTCTTTCGCGATATTCGGCAGCTCGAACAGGGCGCGTAGATGCGTATGCACTATAGCGCGTTTGTTATCATATCTCTGTTTTAATAAATCCCAAGCTACTTGATAATTTGAATCAGTCAATTCCAGCGATTGAATTATAATTGCTGCCTCGCCTGTCATAGATGCTCTCAAATATTGAAATTTTTGGAAGCCGCTCAAGGACGGATTATCATTTATTATGGAGTTAAACATTTCATAAAAAGGAAACCAATCCTCGTATTTTCCCGCGAATTTTGGTAGATCTAATTTCGGTAATCGCACTCCGCATGCAGAGGTGCCCGACTCGCCGACGGATACCGGGGTAGACACTGCGGAGCGGCTATTGGAAGGCACGCGATTATATCCCGCAATCTTGCAGCGCAACGCTGCCATCAATCCGAAAAACATTTCTTCAAACGCCTCGCGATCTCCTTCCTCACCGTCGCAGATTGCCTCTATCTCAGATTGCCAGTCATTATACTCCTTCCAATAGCTAGCTAATTTATCTTTTCTTTCCTCTAAATTTGCTACCGTTTCCGGCGTCAATTGAGTCACCGAATCCGCGTATGTTTTTATTCGGGTACACGCAGCCTTTATCGACGTACGCTTTTTCTTTAGTGCTAAGATCTGATCCGAATGAGCCATAATCCACGCAATATATCGCTATCGCGCACAATATATCGCCACAATAACAGTTTACCCGAAATGCGAAACGGAAATGAACACCCCGATTGGCAAGTGAGTAATTTTCCTACCTTGACCGTCAATTTGATCGCTCAGCTAATGCCTCATTGACCGCCTTTGGTTGTTCGTCCGCCAGTTTCTCTGCATCATGGATCGTCACACGGGCTCCTCCGGGTTGGCAGCTCCTTATCTCATTTATTTCAGCGGCCACTGATTGTATGCTTCAGGGATGTCCTCTCGATGGACGATAATCATTGCTCTTTGACCCTCTCGATGCAACTCCAAAACGGCTCGTACCGTTAAATAATGTTGCGGATCTGACAAATTTCAGTTTGTCGCAAAGAATCCGGCTCGAAGGACCAAAATGTTTCGTGAATTCTCTCGCGTGTAAAGTCCCGGGTATAATTTTGAATCTCCACGGGCGACGCGAGCCGAAGCACAAGCTTCTAGTTTTTATTTAATGCAGCAGTACGGGCGCGATGGTATGAGAGAGTTTGATTGAAATAAACTGTAATGACTTGATCCTCGTATAATATTGATTTATTAAGATTATGCGCGACTATGTATTGCGATGCGCTCCTCGAGACATGAAGATTAGCAAGTGACCTGTGCGAATTTATTTCAGGCCGCACAGGTAAGCCTTCGTTGTCGATCCGAAAAAGCTCGATACATCCCGGAATCCCGCGATTGATATTTTGACCGTTCATGTTCATGTGATTGACCGTTTCTTCGTTCACGTGATAAGACCAAAACAAAGTGAGACAATGATGCGTGTATATATATATATATATAAAAGAAAACCGTGTCTCTTGTCTCGACCAGCACATCCCAACAGATACATGTCCAAACATTGTGCAAATTCGTGAAATATAATAACATGGAATAATAATTCTAAACAATAACGAAAATGATAGATTTGTAAATTTAGAAAATAAGTTGAATACCACTAAATTTCGTATTATATGCAAATTGCATAATTGTTAGAAGCGAATTGATATAAATTGTCAAATCAATTTAATACATAGTATACATACGCTTCGATTTACTAAGTCTTCTTCAGTGTGAGTTAAACAATAAAATAAAAACATAATTAAATTAAAATTCGCAATAACATAAGCGCACATTCAATGATTTAATGTTAATATTACAATGAATTCGTGTTGAGTGTCATCGAAATCGTAAAGTGAACAATATAATTATGCTTGAGATGTACTATACTAGAAGTTTTCAACAGTATCAAAAAGCAATTTTGTCGTGTGATGGCGAGAAGCTGAACTTTTTTTGTTGTTAACTATACAAAATTAGGATATTCCTGAATTAAATTCTATTACCGTTAGTTATTAGGTATAAATGTAAAATTGGTCTAACTTACAATCCTCCTAAAATCGTGGTGGTAACTTTCAAGTTCACGAAACAAATGTCAGTATATTAGCAAAGATCGTTAACTTGTTTAATGTTTTGTTGTTAACTATACAAAATTAGGAAATTCCTGAATTAAATTCTATTACCGTTAGTTATTAGGTATAAATGTAAAATTGGTCTAACTTACAATCCTCCTAAAATCGTGGTGGTAACTTTCAAGTTCACGAAACAAATGTCAGTATATTAGCAAAGATCGTTAACTTGTTTAATGTTTACTCTTGGCAAGTTCATCTAGGATGTCAAAATATGTGTTGTCAAGCAATTCGGTGTCTGTGTTTAAGTTTATTCCATTTTTTTGTTCTCTAATATGAATCATCTCTGATATTAATCTTTTGTGGAAATTATTTTCAATGTCAAGGATTTTTACATTATTCCAATTGAACATATGATTTGAGTTAATTATATGTCCTGTAACCACTGAATGCTTAGATGAATCTGACTTAATATTTTTGGCATGTTCTTTAATTCTAGTCTGTAATTTTCGTTTAGTTTGACCTACATATGCCGCATCACAATTGTTACAGCTAATTTTGTATATAACATTATTATTATCTTCCCAGTAAACACGAAGGGATCATTTACGAAACAATTACATAATATTCTATATGTATATGTTATAGATCGGCGAAACGAAACTATGACGTATATATCGTTTATGTCAATAACGTAATGAATCTATAATTATTACATAAAATTGTTATGCAATTTTGGCGTTACTTTGTTATGTAACATTTATGTATTTTAGTTAATGTAAATGTGTATACTCTAAAAGTTTCGTAAATACTACGTTATTTTAATGACATAATTGTAACGTTATATTAAATACACAACATTTATGTATTTTAATTAATGTAAATGTGTATACTCTAAAAGTTTCGTAAATACTACGTAATTTTAATGACATAATTGTAACGTTATGTTAAATATGTAACATTTATGTATTTTGGTTAATGTAAATGTGTTTACTCTAAAAGTTTTGTAAATGCTACGTAATTTTTATGACATAATTGTAATGTTATGTTAAATATGTAACATTTATGTATTTTGGTTAATATAATTGTATATACACTAAAAGTTTTATAAATGCTGCGTAATTTTAATGACATAATTATTGTAACGTTATGTTAAATACGTAACATTAACATTATTTTGTTGACGTCAATGTATACATTCTGTAAAAACTTTATTATAATCATTACATACAGTATATTTTATAGGCTGAAAGATGCGTTTTGTTAACTCATTTTTTGAATTCGTTAAATTTCGTTTTGGGATAGAAAATGTTAAATTATTCAAATCTTGGATCAAATTTCGCAAAATAATTATTATTAACAAATTAAGAATTAATTTTTTGCGTAACTGTCTGAAATATGATGTCACTCCGCCGCATATTAGTTGTTTATTGAATAACTATGTGAATAATTTTACGAGCCGCAAATCAACACGTAATTATGAACTCTCAAAAAGAACATTTTTTAAGAGACTGATACGCTTGGAGATTGATGATAGTTATAACATAGTTAACAGAACTTATGGTAGAATATTTGATTTGTGTTTTGACATGTACAAGAATTTACCTATCTCTCTTTACACATCGTTCTTTAATAAATAATCTGGCCCACTTTTCTCTTTTTATATTAAAGAGCGAGACAGACTTGAGAGGAAGTTCGGATATCTTTTACAGAAACATTTAAATAATTTCAATATCAAACCGGTTCATTATTTTTATCACCAATCGTTATCTACTAAAAACGATATAGAACCACGTCTTTATTCTTTCTCAAAAAATAAACAATCCGCTGAAAACCGAGAAACAAATACACCGAGGAACAGTAATAGGATTGGAAATATTGATATTGTTATTAAACCTACTTCCTTTCTCAATATTAAACTTAACATTCTGACTAAGAATGATAAATGGTTTATAAATTTGTCCTCCATACACATACCGGATGACATCAGATGTCTATTACAATTAGGAGAGAACTTTAGTTTACCTAATACCAGTAATATTGATCTAACTGTACATTTTATCAAAAATAGATTATTCTCAAAATAATCTAAAAAAACTTCCAATTGCTGATCGCAAGACCATCATTGCAAGGTCTAATAACATCCTTAAATCTATTCGTATCCTAATAGTGAAACTAACAAAAAATTAATATTTTTAAATACTATTACAAATAACTTCCTTAAAGAAAATGATAATTTAATACTAACAAGAGCAGACAAGGGTAACATAACTGTGGCTTTAGATAGAGATAAATACATCGAAAGGATTGAAGGAGATAAATACATGACTTACTCATTAGATGGAAAAATAACAATTACATTTCGTTGCAGACATATTGTTCATTGTCATTTAGTGAGGGAACATTACCGAGAGCATATGGTTTACCAAAAATCCACAAAGAAAATTGTCCATTTAAACTAATTGTATCCTCTTTAAATACTCCTTTATATCAATTAGCACTTTACTTACACCAAATTATGAATAATAGTTTCCCTGTATGTAACAGCCACATAGAAAATAGTTTCGATTTGGTTAACGAAATTTCAGATGTTTACATACAAGATGACTACAAATTATTATCTCTTGATGTTATCTCACTTTTTACTAATGTATTGATTTAGCTCTCGATAGTGTTTCCAATAGATGGCAATATATTGAAAATAATTGCAATCTTCCTAAGTCGGAATTTTTAATTGGAGTAAAATTGTGTTAAATTCTACGTATTTTACGTTTAACAATGTTTTTATCGACAATCCTTCGGCACACCAATGGGTTCTCCTCTATCTCCTATCATAGCTGATATTGTTTTACAGGATTTAGAAAATAAAGCTCTTCAACAACTAAAGTTTTGTCCACCCATATATTTTAGATACGTTGACGATATAATAATGACTGCTCCATCGGATTCCATAGATCACACATTAAATCTATTTAATTCTTTTCACGAAAGAATCCAGTTTACTCTTGAAATTCAAAACAATAATAAAATTAATTTTCTCGACCTAACATTGATATTAAAAACAATAACATTATATACGATTGGTACCATAAAAAAACGTTTTCTGGTAGATATCTGAACTTCCTGTCTCAACATCCTATGAGTCAAAAACGAGGTACGATAATGGGGCTAGTTGATCGAGTTTTTTTATTATCAAATCCAGAATTCTATAAAGATAATTTAGAGTTAGTAATCAAAATATTGCTTGAAAATAATTATCCTCTGAAATTGATTTTTGACACAATGAACCAAAGACTAAAACATTTAATAGAAAAACGAAATATTCTTACAAACAAGAATGACCAAAATGTAAAAGTCGCGTATTTTTGCATCCCATTTTTACCGACACTTACTAAACAATATAAAAACATCACTAAAGATATGAATGTTAAATTCTCTTTTTACAGTCTTAACAAATTGAATAAATATATCGAAGTACACAAAGATCCTATTTCTAAGTGTTCAAACACCAATGTGATATATAAAATAGATTGTAAAGAGTGCAATGCATCGTATGTTGGTCAGACT